CCCCCCCCTCCCCTACCCTCCCCGAGCCCTGGCCGCCAGCTCCACACACCTGATTGGCGGGTTGGCCCGCCCATCACGTTTGCAGGCGCTACGGAGCGTGAAGCGTGGCCCTCCTCAGCACGATGCACTCGCTCAGAGAACTTTTGCATTTGCATGTGGGTCAAAGCCAAAATCATGGCGCCTCCCGCCTCGGGGAAACTCGTCCCTGGAATCGTTCATTGTGGAGGGGAGGCTCCGGTCCTGGCACGGGCACTGTATCGGGTGTTTCTTTTCACTCGCCTATCTGTGGATGGGTGTGCCTACTCAATCTGCTCGCAGCATTTGTAAATAGGAAAACCCGCCCCCCACCGGTGGGCGCAAAGAAACACCCGGTATCGTATATGAGTGTCGGGAGTTGATGGGGAACACGTCATTGTTTATACTTTACTTTCTTCCTTCTATTGTCCAGAAAACGATTCGAGAAGACTTTAAAGAGTGCACCATTCTGACTATTGCTCACAGATTAAACACAATCATGGACTCCACTCGGTAAGTACCCATTTTGGTTTGGAACTTTCCAGTCGATATTTATCATTTCTCGAGATAACTGATGGTGTCTTGTATATATTTTTTCAGTGTCCTCGTTCTTGAGAAGGGAGAGGTTGCTGAATATGATTCACCACAAAACCTCTTGCAGAAAAAAGATTCCATGTTTTACTCCCTGGCGAAAGATGCGGGTCTGGTTTGAGGGTTTAGAGCTAGTTTCGGGGATATGCGAGAAAGGATTGATGTCGTTGAAGTTCATATGTGCCCCCCCCCCCCCCCTCACGATGAGCGTTCCCCGAGGTGACGCGAGAGAACGTTGGAGCAAACGCCTTGCGCCCCTGCGGGAGCTCGGGGCTGGCAGACGTCTCCACACAGCTGCTTGGCGGGTTGGCCTACCCAGTGCGTTGCAGGCGCTTTCAGTAGCGTCGCCAGTCTCCACTACTGTTCAAGTTCAAGTAGGGGTAACACGTTCGGACGAGGATCTTTTATTATACTTTGAAATCAGTTGTGTTTGTTTAGTTTGGAAATTTTGTAAAAGACATTTCCTAAAGTCCATCGGCTAAAAGCTCCTCCGCGTAATGTTCAGCAGCCTCAGCAGTCCCCACAAAGTCATGTAAATAACTCGCTGTGCTTTACACACAATACTTTATTTTTAAGTAAAACTTGTCTAGTATTTAATAAATAAATTATTTTAAAGAAAGTACTCAGTGTATTTTTTATGTGCTCTGTGGACATCCCCCTGAAGAGCGTATTTCTACCACCTTTTACCCCATTGGTCGAGATGGGTCCTGTTCCTGTATCCCAAAGGGACATAAATCTAGAAAACGCGAACACCCAGGTACCCCTCACGATCTCAAAGGATCTTATTCCCTGAAGGGGAATTCCCTGTCCACGCTCACGGCTCACTCCTCGCGGTTGGAGCGCGCAGCAGGTTGGGGGCACGACAGCGCTTATAGCGTTGCACGGCAACAGGCTTGAGTAAGGGGACCAACTACCAAAATGGGGATTTTTGAGAAGTTTGAGAAACTACGTGTTATAATTCGGTGGAATGGGGGGTGGAAGGAATCACTTCTGAAACTGTGTTAGTGAGTGTTCTCCGGACTTATGCAAGTACTGGTAGACCCAAGGGCTCTGTTTATTCTACAATTCATTATTTCATTTTCTAGCTATGATGATTTGAAAATTGGATGCCTGGTCGGGACTGACCAGTTTGGAAACAAGTATTATGAAAATAACAATTACTTTTTTGGTGAATTCCTATGATATCTTTATTTATGACTAAGATAATTCATTACTATAAGAGACCTCTTCTCTTCACTTTAGGACGAAACCGTTGGGTTGAATACAATCTAGCTGTTGGGTACGACTATGATGCTTCCATGGTTCCCCCAGAATGGTTCGGCTGGCTTCATTATCGCACTGATTACAGACCCTGTGAGGTCAGAAAAACTTTTGAAGAAGAGTGACCATCCCATGCCATTGATCAATCAATACTGGTAATACATTTCATCTCTATCTGCAGGATCCTACAAGACCGTCTTATTCTTGGCAAAAACCGCATATAATGAATCAATCTGGGACTCCATATGAATATGTACCTTATGACACTACTTTACCGAAAATTCAGGCATGGGTACCCCCTAACAATAAAAAAGCTAGCCAAGACCAAGACAAGCCTAATACATTAAAATCATGTGTTTACCTCTCGAGGTAAGGATTAATTACAATAACTGATCGGTATACAGTATCACATAACTTTATTGCACTTCCAGTACACTGTTTACTAAAGATAATTTACACTATTTACATTTATACAAAATACACGTTAAAACTTGTGAATCATGTAATGTATGTTGACACTTCAACTTTACAGCCATGACAAGACTAAACATTAAATTGGAAGAAATTCAAACACATGATGTGATCCTTCACTAGCCGCTTTTGATCAGTGGATAGGTGCAGGAGTTGGCACACTCATTAGAGGACTTTCTAAATAATCCATGTTAACTGGAACAGCTGGTGCAGCTTCTTCATTTCCAATTCTTTCTGTAAGTGCATCATACAGACGATGAACAGCTTCATTTTGCTACAAAAAAGAGAAAACATTTAAGAGAATTGTTTTATGCACCTTGATTATGTAACTGGACAATTTTGACAGCCACCTGAAGTTGAATAGAACTCACATGAGATGATGGTTGAAGTGCCTTGACAAGTGTGTGTAACCGACTGGCAGGCAGCTTTGGGTAGACGTACCATAGCAGCTTTAACAAGTGACGTGTTACATTATCTCGGGTAAGACCAGCAGAGAAAAATTCATCAAACACAACTGTGCAGAAATCTTCAGCCGCAAATTCCTCTCCCATGTGGACTAGAAGAGATACCTAAAAGAAAAGAGGACTTAGCCAGAATTCTATTCCAACATTTTGAAGCATCAAAATAGGTAGTTTACGACTTACCAAAAAGTGCAAAAATGGGTCCTCAAAAGCTCTGTCACTTTCACAGCCAGCAAGCGTGCCTAGAATTCTCATAAGTCCAACTCTGTCTTTAGAACGAGATGCATGAAGAGTGTAGTACATAGATAATATTGATGCTACAGAACTTTCTTGAACATAGGCTTGGCAGGCATCAGGAGCTGGACCTACACAACAAAATCGACAGAGTAAGTAACAATGTAACTTTGAAAAAAAAATATTATTAAAATTTAAATTGAAATAAATTATTAAATGAGAAAATTTTTACCTGAGTGTTCAATGATAGTTATAGCAGATTCTCTTTCATCGGGAGGCAATTTTGCATTAAGTTGTCGAACTTGGTCATCCACCATCAATGACATCAGAGCTGGAATGAATTTTGTCACTACTTGAGGATCCAATTTGGGCTCTTTAAATTCCTGAACAAGGAAAAATTTGAAATTATTGAGTAAAATAGATATGTATGGGTGATAATAAGCAAATGTGAACGAATGTAAGAAATTTACCTGAGAATCAATCATATTCCATGCACTCAAACCAAGAGCAAGCATTCTTAATAGTAAAACAAGAACCGTATTGTCCTGAAAATGAGAGGACAAGTTATTAGATGTAAAGCATGTTACTACCCACTAAGCCATTTAAATTTTTTTTTTTTTTAAATGAACATACTCTAGCCATGCCCTCATTACTGATAATATGATTCAGTATCTTCATTGCAGATGTAGCAAGAAAGTTTATGGCATAAGGGTCACATAATGTCATCGACAGGTCACCTAAAACTTGTTCTTGACCGCGTTTAATACTATCAAGAAATCCCTGAAATAAATGAAGTGATATTAATTATCAGCTGAGAATAGATTTTGTTTGGATTTGAACTAAACAAAGTGATTAATTCAATACCTGCAGTTCTCTTGATCTTTTTACATCTACATTCTTCTCCCGAATGCAGGCATCCAGACACCACGTAAATTTGTGACATGGGTCAACTGATATTATGTCCTAAGTAAATGCAGAAGTAGTTGTTTGAAAATAATTTTTTTCAACAATATCGTTCAAAACATAACCATGTCAAATTCTACAAGCGAACCTGTATTTCCAGATCATGTAGAGCCATTAGAAGTTCAGCTCGTAATGTACAGTAGTGAACATTTCTTGTTCTCAAAAAGAGAGTTCGTAGAAACTGAAGAACCATATCATACAACTTGACACTATTACCAATCATATGGGCCAATTTTTGAACAACTTCTCCTTGTCTTCGAACCTTTAAAATTTATAAGTGCTACAGGTTTTTTTCTAAAAATTTTAATCTAAAAAAGACATAGAGAATGTAATATTTCTAATACCTTTGGAGATGGACTAAAGAAAAGATTAGTTAAATTTTGATGATCAAAGAGTATGTTTTCTTTCTCCTTGATATACTGACTAAGCAGAGGGGAGACCTCATCACCAAACAAAGACTGGTTATCTTTCCATATTTGCTGCTTGACTTCTGTGTCAGTATCATTATAGAGTTCTCTATCTTTTACCTAAAATAAAAAATAAAATGGTGAAATTTTGTTCAATACAAAACAAGAACTGAAAATAAAGAGGTAGACTAAACAAACCAAAACTCTTAAGTATTTGTCATCAATATGTGGCGTATTCTTTAATATACCCATAACAACAGGTCTAAGGGCTTTGACTTGAACCAAAGGGAAACTTTTGTTTAAGAGCTCCTTCAGTTTTCTGTCTCTCTCACGGCCTTCCTTTTGCCCTATAGTTTCAATGTGCGACACAAGGCGATCTCGGAGCTCCTGAGAAACGAAGAGGAAATAGTTGCTTTTAAAAACCTTCAAGTCAGAGTATACAATAGAAACTCAGAGCTGTTCAAATGGTGAGACTTACCTCTAAAACTGAAGTGTGAAAATCCAGACGGCGGACACCATGCAAATCCAACAAAGGAAGCATCTGTCTAAGGGATGGTAAGAGAATGCCATTGTCAAGCTGGAAAGGGTCAATACAAAATAAAATTTTGATTATTCAGGGAAGAAAAATAACAAAATACAATTTTTAAATTGCATCTTGATAGATGATGTAGTTACAATTAATTAATAACAAGAATACCTGAAACTCCTCGATAGCCTTTAAAGGGTCAGTACAGCTGGTCAGAGCATCTCGTAGATAGTTTTGACCAGGTACTCCAATATCCTCTAGCCCTGTTCCGGGAAGAGGAGTTGGACGATTTCCAGCAGAGCGCGTCTCCGGTTGAGGAGGCATTACTATGTCACCTTCAACTATGGCTGAAAAATGGATTAAGAATTACGCTGATAATGACTGAAAAGTAACAGAGAAAGTCATTGATTTAAAACAACAAAGGTACAAGACAACGAAACGTTCATAAGAATGAAAAAAAAAAGGAGTTTCGAGGAACCTTTATTCAAAGTCTTTGATGCAGTGCAGTTAAAAAGCTATGTAAACAAATCAATCTATGAGTAAAATTGAGGTTAGGATAAATCTGTCAGCAGCCGGTAGGACTTCTCATTAGAGATGAAAGATAAGATTACACCCATAAACTATATGAAATTGAATAGATTTTTATGCTAATCACACAGCTCTAGTAAATGATGTTTAAGAAGCAATAAGGCCCACTTTACCTTTAAATTTGTTTGTTTTGATTCAAAGACCATCAAAACAGCCGAAATATGTTTAGAGCAGGTTAGCCGACGACATGCTTCGTGCGGTGGGTCCGTGTTTTACATACTGCGTTATGTCTATTTCATACGACATTTTAAAATATAAAATACAAACCATAATCTCTTCTCGCTACTGAATATTGTGCGTTTTTAAACTTGTGTGAAATAATGGATACAAATTAAAATTGCTTCCTTGAACATGCGAACGTTGGCCATCTTCTTACTTGGCGGGCAGTTCAAATAAACAAATAAATCAGGTTACTTGTATCTTGAGCTTGTATCCACTTCTTAAGGATGAAGGATTCAATAAGGCCAACTCATGACTAAGAACAAGTTAAGCACTAAAAAAAGTTTAAATAATGTGGTAATTTAAGTTTATTTTTCAGTTTTGCACAGAATCAAATAAATTCAAAAGGAAAACATTCCTTTAATACATGATTGTTACATCTCAACTTACAAAGACTACATATAATACCACTTACAGCTACTATTTAAAAACAAGACAAAAGGGGGTCATAGGTGCAGGAATGTCATGCAGACTTTAGATACCTTTTTTTAACAGAATAGACTTTAATGAAAACTGGAGTTAACGAAGGATCAAATAAGCAAGTCTTGCTCTACTTCAGAGCCTCTACAAGTACATATATATACAAGAAAATATTTTGCCTACACCCTACATGATTGTAAGACAAAAAAATTAAAAAAAAAAAAAAAAAATACTAGGCATAAAAATACGAGACAAAAGAGATTCCACGACTCATACAGGGAGTGGTGTTTAAATTCAACACCAGTAAAGAATTGGTGATCTTGCATCATACTGTAAAAAATAAAAAAAAGGGTTTTATACTATGACTTAGATGCTCAAAAATATCAAAATCACATCTGCAACTTAATCAGTCACAAAATATCACAAAGTTGTGAAGGCTTTGGCTTCTAAGAATATTCTGGGAATATTCATTTAACAGGGGGAAAATGCAGACATTTTTGCAGCTAGATACTTTAAGCCTCCTACAGGCTAAACTTGATTTAGTCAATATACCTCACGATCGGACTTCGTCACATTGTTCCTCCACCTGGCCAACAATTAATAAAGACAACTTTTTTGTACAAAGTAGAAATACATAGAAGTATATCAGGAAAGACACAAAATAAAACTATAGCTGAACCCATGTACAATATACAGAAATACATACATTTTGAAGAAAAGCTTACAGTGCTTTTAAGTTCATTGAGATCCATATACAAGGCAAAAGGGGTTCTACATAGTACACACACCAGTAAAAATTGCAACAATCAAATTCCTTCATAGAAAAGCACAAAAGCACAAATTAAAAATACTCAATTCACAACAAACACACACACAAACACACTTGAGAGAAAAAAAAGGGAAAGAACCAGTCATTGTGCATTACATAATGGATTTGATTTAAGATAGATATGCCCTAACTGTAGCAGAAAACGGCTTTCGACACACAGCACAGGTCTTCAGTGATGGAGCACAATTAACACATGAGACCAAGTGTCCACACGGTAAAAACACAACCCCGATTTCTTCAGCATAACAAATTTTGCAAGCTGTCTGATCAGTTAGCACTTTTGTCGCAGGTTTGCTTGCCTCTTGAGAACTGGAGGCTTCATCAGCAAAACTGCCACCACTTCCGTAACCACTACTTCCTACATCACTTGATGAAACCTCAGGCATGGAAGAGCTTTCTTCCAAGCTGAAAAATAAGGAGAAGTTTGTCAAATTGATTGATTAAGACATAACTAAGACATGGAAATATTATGAAGTAAACTAAGGAAGTGAGAGCAAGGCTGTGGAAAAACATGGTACTGTCTTATGGAAGTTGCAGAATAATAGTGAAAAATAGGCCAAAAAAACAAAGTGAAGCCTCAGTGAAGTGCACAAAGTGCCCTAGCTGGTGGCACGGTATTATAAAATATTTAATTTGCAACTTCTCAATAAAACAGAACCATGTCTGTTACCAAACCCAAAAATGGAGCCGTGGCTCTAAGGGTGTACTGTACTAAATAAAAAAAATAAAAATAAAAATAAATAAATAAATAAAAAAAATAACTAAGGAAATGACAATTACCTAGAAGCAGCTGCTGTAACATTAACTGACTGGGCATCTTCTGGAATGGGCACATTTAGAGCCTAAAACCATGGCAAAATTTAAAAACAAAAGGTTAAATATTAAAGGTTGAGTATTAAATAAAAATTATAATTTCTACAGAAACTCATACCTGACGACAATTCTTTCCGAGAACTTCATTGATGAAGTCCCGGCCTTGCTTTTGGATTAGGTATGTACATTTGGGAAAATACCTAGCGTGTTCCTTCCAGGGATCATCATTTTCCTCCCAGTCTTTTAGACCTCCTCCACATTGGAAGCAGACAGTTTTGTCACCTTTTCCTGTGATAATAAATTAGATAGAATACACCAAATAAAATCAGCATGAGTAGAATTTTCTGTGCCACAAACCATACCAGTGTAATAAAATCCTGCATCACAAAGAGCTCCTGGGCGTAACTTAATATGCAGAGGCCATGAAGAGTATGACTCCATACGTGACTCCGGAGTGGTGAAAGTGGGATGAGCTGCGTCTTGACGAGGGCATATGCCTAGCCGTTCCAATGATACATCCATAGTTGGGCTGCATGGAGTGATGTTATACATCCCACACTCATCAACACCTTGGGCATGGTCCATCTCGGCAACACCTTCGTTATCAGTTGGCCTATCCATTTCATCAGGGGTTTTGTTTAGATTAGGAGAAAGTTGATTGTTGTTGTCCATCTGTCCAGGAAGTTGACAAAGTTTTAAAAATTAATTCAACATATATCAATACCTTAAATGAGATCCTTTTGAAGAGAGGGGAATGAGTAAAAATATAATGAGATCTATTTAGGCTAGCAGCCAGTTCTTGGAAGCTTTATCTGATAAGAGGCAACTATCACATCACATTTCCCAAATGGTTCTAGGTTATTGTGGCTTTTGTATTAAGGATTTTATCATCTATGCGCGGTTTCGCCGCCGAGCACGGAATCATGCGTATCGTTAATTTTGCAGAGAAACCAGCTGGTTTGGCGTGGACGCGAGACGCGATGTTCATTCAAGTTATTAGGGACAACTAAATGGGGGAGATAAGACGATACTAGCCCACGTAAATGCTCAGACATACAGGTTAGACTTACTTTACGAGTACACCCACCTCAAAACATTAACTTTTAGATGAAAATTCCTCAATTCATTCGAGTACTTTCTACTTCTCTTAGTAATGAGTTTCACTCTCTCACAAACTCAACGACCACGATCCTGTGGCTGCAACAGAAATTCACGTCGAATTCCTTATTTCTCTATCTCCCTCTCTCTATTTCCACATCACAGTTCTGGTGCACAACGAGGACAGAACGCTGGTTGTGTTTGATTCATTTCGGGCGCAGCCCAGTGGCTGTTTACCAAATCCAATCCAAATTTGCCAACATACAAAAATAAACACGTGACACATTTTCTGAAAACTGCAGCTTATAAATCTCAAGAAAACTAAAAATAGGAGCCCATTATTAACCAGTTTTTTGTAATGGGAACAGAAATCGATCTCTGAGGTGAAAAGGACCACTTGAATGGCTGCTACGGAAACGTAAAGTTGATGTGCCGCAACGTTGGCCAACAAATATGGCGCTGTCATTTGAACGACTTCACGCCGAGGGGTACACCACTCTTAAAAGTAGGTGTACGCGATTAAA